TGACTGTCGGTTGCTGAGCCTGTTCTAGAGCCTAACAGAGATGGACTCGGCTGGCCTGTGGCCCTTTCAGACGGGCCGCTTTCGCCTGATGACACAGTTAAGGTTCTTCCACGTCTTGTCACGGCTCCAGAGCTCAGTCTGAGAAGTGCTGGTTAATATCGTTGCCTGGATGGACCCAGTTTGTTCACCCGCTCACCTTGCAGGGCACCTTGCTGCCCCCAAGGCTGGCAATTATGAGTGAAGCTGTATGAATATCCACGTGCAGGTGTTTACGTGGACTTAATTTTTCAACTCCTTTGGGTAAATTCCCAAGAGGGTGATTGCTGGATTATATGCAAGAGTGTGAAGTTCTGTAGAAAACATCAAACTGTTCCCAGGGGCTGCACCGCTGCGTCCCTCCCAGCGGTGATGAGGGGTCCTGCTGCTCCGCATCCTCGCCAGTGTGTGGCGTTGTGGGTGTCTGAGTGTTGGCCATTCTCACAGGTGTGTGGGCTCCAATCCCCCTGATGCGAAGAGCTGACTCATTGGGAAAGACCCTGATGCTGGCAAAGATGGAGGGCAGGAGGTGAAGGGGATGGCAGAGGATGAGATGGTTGGATGGCATCACCAACTCAATGGACATGAGTTTGAGTAGACTCCGAGAGACAGTGAAGGACAGGGAGGCCTGGCATGCCGCAGTCCATGGGGTCGCAGAGTCAGCCACGACTGAGCGACTGAACCACAACAAATAAGTGCGTGGAAGTGTCTCATTGCCATTTTTATTTGCATTTCCCTGATGACATAGGGTGTGGAGCATCTTTTAATATGACTATCTGACATCTGTGTGTCTTCTTTGGTGAGGAGTCTGTTCTGCTTCCCCGCCCACTTTTTAACGGGGTTGCTTGTTTTTCATTGTAAATCTTTAAGAGTCCGCTGTGTATTTTGAATACCAGGTCTTCATCGGGCGTGTCTTTGCCAGTGTTTTCTCCTGTCTGCGACAGGAGACATGGTCTCATTCTCTTGATGTTGTCTGTCGCAGAGCGGAAGTGTTTAATTTTAATGGAGGCCAGCTTATCGATGATTTTGCTCGTGGCTCGTGCCTTTGGTGTCGTGATATTTCTATTCCTCAGCACAGAGCCAGGAGCCACAGAAGAGGATGCAAACGCTCCCCAGGACCAGGGCAGGAACGAGCCCCTGGGCCCACACTAAGGGGACCCTGCTGCGGATGCTCAGTCGCGTCCCGCCCTTTGTGGCCCCGTGGACTGCAGCCCGCCAGGCTCCTCTGTCCAGGGGATTCTCCAGGCGAGAATGCTGGAGCAGGTTGCCATTTCCTTCTCCAGGGGATCTTCCCACCCAGGGATCGAACCCGCATCTCCTGAATTGGCAGGCGGACTCTTCGCCTCGGAGCCGCCTGGGACGCCCTAAGGAGGCCCAGTTGCGAATTCCACGTGTGATCGGATTAGTCATTTCCAGCTGGTGCGGGTTTTGAGAAGCACCTGGTTCCCCTCACCGGGTCCAGGCTCACCTTTCAACGCCTCAGCCTCCTCACAGACACGTCATCCCCCAGACGTCCGGCCTCCTGAGCTCAGAGCGCTGCCCACCGCACAGCTGGGCCCCGGGAGGGGAGGTGCTCAGCGCTGGGTCCGGGAGGTTGATCTGATCCGGCAGCTACCCCGGGGGGCCTGTGTACTGACGACTGCAGGGCACCCTCTGCAGGTGAAGTGTGAGCATTTGCATGGGGACTGACTTCATGAGACGCATAAACATTTGTCTGAAGAGAAATGAAAATAGCGACACAGAGAATGGCTGGTTCCTGACTCACACGCCCTCCCCATGGGTCTCCGGGAGCTTGGTTACGCTGGTGCAGATTCTGTAGCTGCTGTCAGGCACGTCTGCGAGAAACACTATTTTTAAAGACTCTACCACGCAGCCATGAAGTTTCTTCTCCAGGCTGAAATAGCAGGGATTAAGGTGCCAGGCCAGGAGCTAATAATGTTATAACCTTTCCAGGGACATCTTCAGGATTAAGTTGTAGATGGAGAATTAATATCAAGGTAGACATTTTCAGTAACTGCAGTTTTTTTCTGTCTCCAAATTTGGTGTTATCTGGATTGCAAAATTTCAAACACATCAAGTGTTACTTTTCCCTGACACGCGTGCTTCTCCTGCATACCCCGGGCTCCGCTCGCCTGCCCGGCTCTGCCTCCAATGTCATCAGGTTGTCCCACAGGAAAAAAGCAGAAATATGAAATAGCCCTATGTCAGAGAAAGAAACAGCAAGTGAAAGAATTAAACAAACAAAAATCTACACACCATCCAACCAACCCACTTTCTTTTTTCTAAAGAAAAATCCAGCCCCACATGGCTTTGCTGAGAATTTTACCAAATAGGCAAGGAGCAAGTAATAAATAATGTCAGAACGTGGAGAAAGGGGGTGATTCCCAGCTCATTCTCTGAGCAAATGACGTGGATACTAAGCCCGAGTCGCGTGTAACAGGAGCAGGGAACAGAGACCAGCATCCCTGAGGCACACAGGTGCAGACACGCTTTATGGTGGTGGCCGCTCAGACCCAACTCCGCAAGACACAACGCCTTCCGCTGCACCCACGTGGAGTTTATCTTGGAACGGCAAACCTGCTTCACATTCAAAATCTGTGTCACTCACCACGTGGATGAAATAAAGGAGAAAAAAAGGGGATGACCTCAAGAGATGTAGAAAAAGAACCTGACAGTTTGTCAGCCTTCATGATGGAAACTCTGAGCTGGGACAGAAGAGCACCATCTAATTCAGCAGAGGCGTCCATGCAAAGCCTGTAGTGAGCATCTCGTTCACGTGAGACCGGGCGCATTCATTCCCTCCAGGGCTGGGGATAGAGCCCGGATTGCTGTCTTCGCCACTGCTGCTCAGCATTCCACCAGAGGGTCTGGCTAGCGCACAAGGCGATAAGACTACTTAAAATGCACAAAGTGGGTTGGTCGGATGGAGGGAGAGAGAGGTGGGCTGGAGCTGCCGTGTGGGGCTGTGGGGGTCTCTGGGGGGATGGTGGGGCTGTGGGGGTCTCCGGGTGCATGGCAGGGCTGGTCCTCAGAGACTCTCCATGGGGATGGGTGCCTTTGGGTGCTCGGTCTTCTCACCGGTTGGTCAGCCAGCCTCACCTGGAAGAGACACACAACCAAGCTAACGGATGCATCCAGGATTAGGACGCGCCTGCTTCCCAGGTGGTGCTAGTGGTAAAGAACCCGCCTGCCAATGCAGGAGACATCAGAGATGCAGGTTCAATCCCTGGGTCTGATCCCTGGTTTGGGAAGATCCCCTGGAGAAGGAAAAAGCAACCCAGTCCAGGGTTCTTGCTTGGAGAATCCCATGGACAGAGGAGCCTGGTGGACTACAGCTCATGGGGTCACAAAGAGTCATACATGACTGAGCAATTTAGCCCACACGCATGTGACCCAAAGGGTGCTCTCCCAGCATCCTCCAGGGCTGCCCTTCTGGGGGCTGTGCACGGTGGCCAGGCCACTTCACTGAAGGAACAGCTGACCCCAGGACGGGTGACCGTAGTGCGTTAACAGAGACGGATGGGGATGCCCTGCTCAGCGCTGCGTGCCCACTGTCATGGCCGAGGGTGTGCCTGTGTGTCTCCTGCTTTCTGCCTCTGCAGATGTCCCTGCTCCGGGCATTTCCTGTAAACGGGCCACACACCACGTGGCCTTCTGCAGCTGGTTTCTTTCATGAGCACCATGTTTCCAAGGTCCCTCCAGGGCGTGGAGGGGATGTGTGGTATGAGGGAATTCAGGGCCTTTCCCACTTCCTGGGATGGAGTTCTGGTGGGTGACAGCCCTCCTGAATCTCTGGGTGCTGATGCGATGACTGGAGCAGCTGCAGCCTTCTTCTCACCAGGCTGAGGGTGAAATCCATGTGGAGGGCGCAGGGCAGAGAGAAAGAAGGGGCCAGCCCTACGGGCTTCCTTGACCTACTGAGTCCTCACCTTCTGGACTCTGAAGCCTGGTCTGGGCGTGTGGACAGGCCTGACCTCCAGAGACCATGGACCTGAGGAGTGTGGACGGGACGGGGCTGCAGAGAAAGACAGCATGCAGCAGGGCCTTGTGGCCTCGGATGTCAGCGTGGCCCAGAGCGTCTGGAGTTCCAGTCACAGGTGGGGGGGCCGGGGTCCTGGTCTCCACCTGGGGTGCCCTAGCGGGGAGGTGGATGTGGGGTCTCACCATCCACGGGCTCTCTGATGCCCCTACATTTGCTATAAGGGGAAACACTGGGCAGGCTGGGACAGGTCAGCTGGCCCGTGGACCTGCCAACGGGCTGTTCACCTCTGGCTGGGCAGAATGCTGTGTCCCAGGCCCCGAGGGCCCCTCTCCAAGACCTCAATCTGCATCTGCCCTCAGGTGCAAGCCTCCCCCATGCGCAGGGAGAAGCAGAGTCTCCACGGCCCGGGGCTGGCTTCTGTCCCTTCTAGTCTCACCCGCCACCCGCGGTCAGCCTGTCTCACAGCCTCCCTGCCGCTGCGACCTTGGTTTGACCCAGGGCAGCCTGGGAGGGTGGGCTTTCTGCAGGACTGCACGCGCTGTCCACACTCAGTGAGTGAGCGTTCCCGTGGCTGGTCAGAGGTCTGTCAGGATCCCTGTTCCATCAGAGGAGGTGAGGGTACCTGGAAAGCTGGAGAAGTGCCTGGTGCTGGGTCAGAGCTGCAGGCGGAGTCCTGGGGACCCAAGGGCGGCTTTGTCCCACATGCCCCCCTCACCCTTCTCACACGGCTGGGGAGACGGCTGCCCCACCACCCCTGTCCCAGGGGAAAGACCCCAGCTGCTCCAGCTTGCAGATGCCTGGGTCAGCCCGGCCTGCAGGTGGGGCTTCTTTGCCCCTTCGCTCACAAATGACCCCGGTGTGGCCTTCATGGCATCGCAAAGCCCAAGGCCTTCCTGTAGAGCCTGTAGGCAGGCAAGAGTCTTGGGAGGCCTTACTCTAGCAGGAGGGCATTTCACAGCAACGTGGCGTAAGACCGAGGAGCATGTTAATGGTAGGAAGCTCGCTCCAGGCCACCCAGCCCGACTGCCAGGGGGAGGATGTGGGTCCGAGGAGCGCGGTGTCCAGTGGCCAGGGCGGCAGCTTCTCCTCCGGGCGTTCCTCTGCATTTGTCACATTGGGCCGGGAGCGGGGTCTCTCCTGGACAAGGGTCTTTGTCCGGAAGGCCGAGCCTCCTCCTAGCCCTGGTTGCAGCGTGAGCCGACCCTGGGCACCACCGCCCAGCTCCCGCACACCTGCATGGCGGCTTTCATCTCTGAGGAACCGGTGTGACCGCAGAACACAGCCGTGAGCACAGCGGCAAGGAGAGGCGCTGACGTCCGCGCCCTGCAGTCTGAAGGCCCGACCGCGGGCCACGCGCGGGGTAAGGCAGCTGCGTGCCGGGGGCTGCCACAAGCATTTTCTTCCCAAGCCCTTGGGTGCCTGTGACTTCATAAGAGCGATTCAGGAGCCTGAAAAGTTGTCACGAAGCCAAGCAATTACCCGGCTCTGTCCTGAGGATGCCGAGGAGGACATCTGTGGGCGGTGAGGGGCCCGCCCTGGGGGTCCCGTGGACACCCTCCCTCCAGGCGGGGCCGGGCCGGCGGGGGGCCGGCTGTGCGGTGGACATGAACACCCGCCGTGTTTGCTTGGGCTCATCAGGGTGACGGTGGAGCCCCCGGGGAGAGAGTCACTGAGCAGAAGAAAAGGAAGAAAATTGAATCGGTTCTTTTGGAAAGCACTGTGTTCAAAAGTGGAAGCTTCTCTTCCACTGGAGGTAAAGGAGCCAGTCGTCTCAACCATCACCGATGCACGCTTGTCCCTCCCAGTGAAAGGCGTGCAGTCGTGTCCGGATCTTTGTGATCCCATGGACTATACAGTCCATGGAATTCTCCAGGTCGGAAAAATGGAGTGGGTAACCTTTCCCTTCTCTAGGGGATCGTCCCAACCCAGGGATCGGACCCAGGTCTCCCACGTTGCAGGTGGAGTTTTTACCAGCTGAGCCGCAAGGGAAGCCCACGAATACTGGGGTGGGCAGCCAGTCCCTCCCAGGCTCCCAGGCAAATCCTTGAACCCAGTGACCTTCCTGTCGCTGCAGAGAGCCTGTCCGCCTTGCGGCCTGGAGGAGGCCTCTTGTGGCTCAGGGCTGAGTGAGTTGATTCCCTCCCGTCTAACCGCTGACGGCACATGGCCTGCTCAGCGTCAGGGTGTGTGGCGGGAGGGCCGTGCGGCAGGTGAGGCCCCCGGGTTCCCAGCACCGTGACCCCTCTGTGCCCAGCCGCAGGGCCGCCGGCACGGGCTCCGGCCAGTACCTGGGCTGAGATGCCGCTGGGGGTTTGGGCGCATCGTATGTGGTGTCTCATAATCCTAGGGGCCTGGAAAAGTGTTTGCGTACAGCAGTCTCTTCTGTGAAGACAGTCATTAACATTTTAAAGAAGCAAGATTAAAAGAAGGTTGTAACAACAGCTGGAAAGTGTTGGGTGCAGAGAATAATACAGAGAAATGCGAGGTTTTATTTCCTAAGAATAAAAATTGCAAGGAGCTGATGCTAAATATAAGAAATTCCATCACATAAACTTTAGAGTACTGTCTCTTTTGTGTCTGTGAAGGAATGGGCCTGGCTCCAAATTCCCAAGCCTTGAGAACGACCGGCTTTTCCAATGTTTTCACCTTCGGGCCGAAGGCAAACCTCAGGCCCAAATAAGGGGCCGTGGAGAGGCTGCAGTCGGTCCTGGAGGAGAAGGGTCGGAGGGTGTGACCTGCCCAGGGTGGTGGGCACTCGCCGGGGACACGCCTGGGACGCGTGTGATCCGGGGGCCCAGCCAGCCCTTCCCCCTCCTCCCTCTGTCCGGACCTGAGCACTTCTCCTTAGGGCTGAGGTTGATGCCAGCTGCATCCTGACCCAGGCAACCGCCGCTCCATGACTGACAAACAGGCAAACGTGCGCAAACCAACCAACCCGCAGGAAAGCGAGCGGCTTGCTGCAGCTGCGGCTCTGGTGTTGGTGTTCCAGCGGCAGGGGCCGGAGGCTGCCATGTGCCGGGGAGGACAGCTCTCGGGGCTGTGACGAGTCACTCTGGTCCGATGGGATCGCGACAAGTTAAAAAAGAAAAACAAGCTTCTACTGGATAGCACAGGGAACTGTATTTAATATCCTGGGACAAACAATCATGGAAAAGAAAGTGAGAAAGAATGTCTGAGTCACTTTCTGTACAGCAGAAATTAACGCAACATTGCGAATCATCTACGCTTCAATAAAATAAAAGTGAGATTGCCTACCATCACTGGAGCAGAGATGAGCAGAATTCCGGGTGGGGTGGCCGCACTTGGACCCGAGGCTGCTCTGACCTGAGAAGGAGGAGGCGCCCACATGCCCACTGTCTGTGAATCAGCCAGGCCCAGCGGTGCCCTCTCGTGCTGGGTCCCAGGACCGAGTCCCCTCCACGAGTTGCATCTAAGGGCGTGGCATCTGTGTGTCCTTGCAGGTGATGGAGCTCTTGGCTGTGGATCCCTGAGCCTCAGGGTGGAGCTGCAGATTCTCGGTTTTGAGACCACGCCTGGGCCTGGTTGGAGGGGTTGGGGTGAGGCCGGTGGGCGCTCGTCCGAGGCCCCCAGCTGCAGGCTGGGGACTCAGGCTCCTGTGTGAGGCTGTGAGAGCGTCCCGGGGTTGGCGTCTGGCCCAGGCGGCAGCTTTAGCAGCAGGAACGTGCCGTCTCCCAGCCTGGAGGCCAGCGCCTGTGGACAGGGCGCGGGGGGTGGGCTTCTCTACGGGTTCGGGGGGCTCTCTCCCTGGCCTCTCCCCCTGTCCCCCGTGGCCTCACGTCACAGCCACTCCCCTCTGTTCTGTCTCTGCGCCCTGGTGTCCCCTGCTGGACAAGGGCCCGCGGCGAGGACCTCATTTGAACTTGCCATCAGCAAAGGCCCCTTTCTCAGATGAGGCATATCCATGGGTCCTGACCTCAGCATCTTTGGGGGACTTGACTCAATGCCTAACACCAATAGAGAGGCTCTCCGTGGTCATCACTTGGGGGTGGCTCCTGTGTGACAGACGCTGGGGGGGTGTTCCCAGGGGCACCGGGCTCTCAGGGAGGATGTGGGTGAGGAGGGGAGCCTGCTGGGCTGGGAGGAGCACGTGGGTGGTGGGCGAGGGCAGAGTGCGGGGTGGGGGCTGCACCCGCGGGGATCCCGTGCTGTCTGAGCAGCAGCGCTGTGTGTCCTCAGGAGCCCGCCGGCACCCGCTCTGGGCTGGATTCCTGCTAGCACTTCCCCTTCCAAGTCTGAGTCGGAGAGACAGGAGCAAGGAAAGCCTTCGTAGCAGAGTTGTCTCCCCTCGGGGGAGCAGAGCCCCGGGAGGGGCGTGTCTCCTCCGAGCCTGCTGTCTGAGCCCCCCCGCCCCCCGAGCTGCCCTCAAGGGCGTCCTGCCTGCTCTCAGCGACCCCCCCTCGTGGCCGCGCGCCCACTGCTCATCTCGGCTCCTGCAGACCCTGCACTCCCAGCGGGGTCCTCCGAGAATTTACCAGGATGTCTGTGCTCTGTCCAAGGGCGATTCGTCCAGAGGGACAGGGTGTTTGCCCCCTGCCCCCGCTCCTGTCCGCGGTGTGAGCCACTCTGTGCGGAGCTGGGCTGTGGCCCTGATGCCCCCGGGGGGGACGGGAGAGGGTCGGGTCCCCCGCAGTGAGGACAGGGCCGGGGCATGTGGATCTCGGGAAGACTGACTTCCCACATGTGTCCTTGCCCTCACCTGAGCTCGGGCCAGGCCTCCCCCCTTCCTCACTCACTTGGGGCCAGGACCCCTGTGTCCAGGCCCTGCAGACCCCAGGCCCTCCTCCAGCAGCGGCCGGGGCCCCGGAAAAGCATCCCCTTCCTGATCCTCGTCTCATTCAAGGGCTCAGGTCTGGAAAAGTCAGACTCAGGAGCCTTAACCTGATGCCGGCTTCCCTGGGGAAGCCCCCTGGGGGCTTCCAGGAGGAAGGCAGCTCCCGTCCCACACAGGGTCTCTCGCGAGGCTGTGGCCACGGTCCAGCTGCTGGAATGGTGGGGCGCCGGCCAGGCCTGAGCCCTCCCCCGGGGAGAAGCACCTGGAGTCTCGAGAGATCAGAGCTGCGGCCTCATTCCAACGAGTGGGGCTGGGGTGAATCACGGCCCGGTGACGGCTCCAGCAGCACGGCCCGCAATGGACCCCCTGCCCAGGTGTGAGCGCAGGCGGAGCGGAGGAGGCGAGCTCTTCAGCGAGGGGAGATGGGGGGGGGGGATGCCTGCGGGGTCTCTGGCTGGCCCCAGGCAGGACTCCTCACCACCGTGCTGGGGGGTGGGGGGGAGGGAAGCCCCTCTCAGAGGCCGGGGCCATCCTGTGCGCCCAGAAGCTTCTGGCTTTCCTTCACACTCAGCAAAGCGTCTCCCTTCGTGGCGGGCAGAGTCATCATCCGACTCAGTGCTTGCAGGACGCCGGACGGTCTGGGGGGACCTGCACGTGGAGGCTGGTGTCGGGGGAGGGCTTCCCAGCTTGGTGTGGGATCCGATCCGACTGTGGGGCTGCTCCTCCCTCTTCCAGAAGGCGGGTGACCAGGTTACCTGCATCTCAGTGAGCTTCCCCAGAAAACGTCCCCGCACAGGATGCAGAATGAATGAGATCTGGGCCGAGCGCCAAGGTCCAGGGGCCCTGCTGACCTGCAGATTTGCACCGTGTTTACAGGTTTCTGTAACTGTGTCTGTGTGTAAGAGCCTGCACACGTGTGCATGTCTGTGTACACGCGTGTGTCTGTGGGAGTGTGCAATGGTGCACGTGTGGACACCAGTGTTTGGGTCTTGGCATTTCAATGGCATCTCAGACCCTCCTGCATCTTTTTAACCTTGGGTGCTGGGTCCCTGGAGTCATTTCATCACACGACTGTTTCCTTTCTGTGCCGCTCAACCCTAAGAAATGGTGAGCAACTGTCCTTGGATTTTAATGCTGACGACTGTTCTTTAATTTATACCCTGCAGTTCTGGAAAGAAAGAAAAACGTCCTGTGTGAAGAAGGTAAATCTGATACCCATCAATCTGTGAGGAGGTGATAAATAACACCCCCTTTCTTTCGCATTTATAAATTATTTGCTTCATTAGGACAGAGCGTGCTGGCATTCCGTGAGCTGCGCAGGATCTCTCCAGAGTCGAGGTGGGGGGTGGGAACAATTAGGTGGGTTTCTGGTGAGCGGATACAGTTGCTCTCATTAGGACAGAAAATGCCAATTAAAACCAGAAAAAATGAGCAGAATTGATTAGGTCTTCTCATCAAGAGTTACCTATTTGTGTGTCTGATGAGAGAGTCCAAAACTTGAATGTCATTTTGGCTCGATGGATGGAAGAACCACACTCCCCACAGGGAGGACACCAGCGAGGACTGCAGGAGCAGACAGGAGCGGCTCCTCTTGTGCACATGTCCACACGCCCCCTACATGTTTGACCTGCACACGTGTACACACCTGTGCTTGCACACACCTGTACAACCTGCATGCACCTGCACACACACGTGTACACACATACAAACACCTGGACCTTCACACACCTGTATATACACCCGCACACACCTGTACAACCTGCATGCACCTGCACACACACCTGCACACACATACATGCCTGCACCTGTATCTGTACACAGCTGTACACGCCTACACCAGCACACGCACAGCCTGCACACACTCCTCTTCACCAGTGGCCCCCCCACAGCCCACGCTCTTCCTCCCAAACCCAAAGGCGCCCGACGCGATGTGTCAGTGCACTCGGGAAGCACCCTTCCCCATCATACGGATGACAGAACCAGAGCTGAAAATTCTCATGAGGCTAAACCTTTTTAGAAGCATTTCTAACAATAATACCAACAAAAGGCTCTTCCATCTGTGACTTCCGTGGAGGGACTCCGCCTGCTGTGTTGGGCCAGCCCAGAACAGTGAAGGGTGATAGGCGGGCCGCACAGCTTCTCACATGTCCCATCCCGACTGCATTTCTGCAGCGCCCTGGAACACTGGCCTCCTTGCAATCACGGGCAGTGAAAGCCGGGGGCCACTGTGGAAGGGGAGACTTCATCTGCGTCCCCAAGACCTACCCCCAGACCGTGTCCTGACCTGGCCTGCCTGTCAGTTCCAGCCAACAGGCAGCCGTAAGCCCCCAGCTGCAGTCCCACAGACAAAAGGAAGCAGATTCTCCCCTTGTTGAGTCTCCAGGTGGGACCCCAGCCTGACCACATTCTGACTGCAGCCCTGGGGACCCCGGGCAGAGGAACCCATTAGGCCATGCCCTGATGCCTGCCCCACGGAGACCGTGAAGAAGAGAAGGCCCCTCCTGACCTGAAGTCTGTGGGTATCACACAGCAGCAGTCAACAAACATGCAGGCCGGGGTCTAGGAAGCTGCGGTCCTGAAGCGCTATTTAATAGTTCCTGCTTTTACTTTAGAGGGTCTCTGGAACTTTAAAAATTATTTTGCATTCTTACACTTTTTTTGTGAGTGATCATACGCATTTAACAAATTCCACAGTTTAAGTGGTAAAGAATCCTCCTGCTGATGTAGATTTCGGTTTGATCCCTGGGTTGGGAAGATCCCCTGGAGGAGGAAATGGCAACCCACTCCGGTATTCTTGCCTGGAGAATCCCCAGGACAGAGGAGCCTGGCGGGCTACAGTCCATGGGGTCGCAAAGAGTAGGATACGACTGAGTGACTGAACATTCACACACACAGTTTATGTATGTTTTCACTAAACAGTATGTTCTCAAGTTTTATTCGTATTGACACAATTATGTCATTAATTTCCCTGCTATGCTGCAGAAGAGTTGGCTGACCCATCCTCAGCTGTGACTGCTGGGGGAGTTTTGAAGCTTTGCTTTTACACATGATGGGCTCATGAGGACTTTTGTACAGACCTGTCTGTCACATGTGTAAAGATTTCTGTAGAATTCATACTTTGAGCTACACCACACACTCGTGGGGCGAGCATGTCTCCAGACCTGGATCTGCTGGCAGATTCTGTCCCTCATGGCCCTGATGTGACGCCCACACCCATGCAGGGCAGCTGTCAGCTGCTCAGTCGCGTCCAACTGTTTGCAACCCTTTGGGCTGTAGCCCGCCAGCCTCCTCTGTCCATGGGATTCTCCAGGCAAGAATACTGCAGTGGGTGCCATTTCCTCCTCCAGGGGATCTTCCTGACTCGGGGATTGAACATTCATCTCTTGTGTCTCCTGCCCTGCAGGTGAATTCTTTACCCCTAAGCCACTGGGGAGGCCCCTTCCTTCCTGGGGCTGAGATCCCCAGGTGGAGCCTGCCTTCACCTGCTGTTTGCTGACAGGCCTCCCTCGGCGACTCTACGGTCTTTCCTCACCCTTGCCCATTGCTCTACGAGCTCTGTCTTTTCTTACCGGCTGGCAGGATTTGGGCCCACGATGGACATTGCTCCCTTTTCATTGATTCAGATGCAGACTGTCATCTTTTCTCTGACTTGTTTTCTTATCTCATTCGGGTTGTCTTTGGTCAAAGAGGAAGCTGTAATTTTAATGCGGCCACATGGATGTTCTTGGCCACGGGCTTCAGGCTTCATGTGTCTTGCTTGAGGAGCTCCTTCTACAGCCAAAGGCATCACACTCTGCTGCTTTCTTGCTGAACATTTTTCAGGTTGGGTTTTCCCGTCTGAGTTTCTAACTGTCCTGGATAGTTGCATGTTTTTTCAGCTTTCATTTTTTTTTAAAAGGGCACCTTCACTCCGCTGGGCACTGCGCACGCAGTGTGTGAAGCCTCCCCTTCATTCCTGGGGAGCGAGTGGCTTGCGGTGCGGATGCTGTACCCGCACCTTCTGCGGACAGTGAGCATGCAGCGGGGAGGACGGGGAGGAGGAGCCTCGTCCGTGAGGGCCCGAGGGCGGTGGACATGCGGGGGTCAGGCTCCCGCCTGCGTTCAGCTCCCAGCTCTGCCTCTCTGTGTCCCTGGGACCCTCGGGGTCTCATCCTTCAGGGGGAGTAACAAGGTCATGACCTAACGGAGCTGTGAGGATGGGGGCCAGGCCCTGATGCCTGGCGCCTGGGGGGGCGTGGCTGGGCCCGTCACTGGACTCTCTCTGGGGGGTCCCCCTCCCCCCAGTGCAGGAGCCATGAGCCCACGTGAGCGTCCGCGGCCCCTCCTGCCCCCAGGCCTCCGAGTGAGGCCTCAGTGTCCTTACTGTTGCTTATTGTCCGGGGAGCGCTCATTGCTGGGGTGTCTGTGTTTAAATACAACCTTTCTGCTTTCCTAATTTTATCAGTAGATCTTAATCTGGATAATTAAAATTCAACCCGACATTCCCAGGGACCCCATAAACACCCACCGAAGGCTTGAAAGTCCACGAGCTGCTCCCTCGAGGAAGCGCCCTGGCCTGGCAGGATGGGGTCAGACCCCAGGGTCTCGAGCGGGCAGCAGGGTCTGCTCCATGCTTAATGAGACAGGGCGGAGTCCTTTCACAGGGCCCATGGTCCGGCGGGGGCCGGCGGTGTCAAACCCAGACCGTGCCCTTGGAGGAGGCGCCGATCATAACCCCCAGGGATGACCTCGTCTGGCCCTGGGCTCACTTATTCATTCTGAGAAGATTCCCTGGTGTCCGCTCTGGGCAGGCCATTGGTCCTGCGTGAGGGTGGGACGGGGGTCTCATCTCCTCACTCGGGAGGACCCTCCAGGAACGTGAGCCCAGCCACGTCAGCCGGCAGGGTCGTGCTGACCCTCTCTTCCACCAGCCGCTGCTCAGAGTCACCACCGGGCGGAGGCGGCGATGACCAAGGGCAGGGCCCCGAGCCGTCCAGGGCTGAGGCCATCCCAGCCCTGATGGAAGCCCCCCAGCCTCTCCCTCCAGACGCCCCTGGCTCCTGGCCCTGCCCAGCCTCCCACCAGCCCCGGGCCCGGGACTCACGGCTCCTCTGGTCCTCGTTTCCCAGCTCAGAGTGCGATGGTGATGGAAGGTGCTCAGTGTGAGGGTGGACGCGGCCGGGAGATGCGGTCAGGTCAGCAAGTGGCTCCAAGCAGCCCGGCCCCCAGCTCCGGAGCCAGCGTGGCCCCAGCCGTCTCGGTGCATCCGAGCGCGGCCGTCCAGATGTCCCGGAATCAGCCGGTCTCTGCCCCATGTCCACCACCCGGGGCTTGGTAACCCTGCCTCTATGGTGGCTCCCATTCCCGTTCCTCCCGTGGTGGGCCTGGCCAGGGGGGTCCTTAGGGTTACTCTGTGACAGCGTCAGGGCAGTGGCGGGCGGAGCCTGGGTGGGGTCTGTGCTCACAGCCGGGATGGAGCTGCTGTGGGGCAGGTGCATCGGGCCAGGGTCAGTATCAGGGTTGGGGTCAGGGTCAGTATCAGGGTCGGGGTCGGGTCAGTATCAGGGCCGGGGTCAGGGTCAGTATCAGGGTCGGGGTCGGGTCAGTATCAGGGCCGGGGTCAGGGTCAGTATCAGGGTCAGGGTCGGGGGCGGGGTCGGGGTCAGGGTCAGTATCAGGGTCAGGGCCAGGCTCGAGGTCAGGAGGGCATCCCTGATGGGATGTGTGCTCGGAACGGGGGAGGGTACCCCTGTGCCAGGGCCTGACCCCAGGGATCAGGCAAGTCTGGGCCGAGGAGGGCCCACTGCCTGCAATGCTGTGGGCTTGGACTGGGGAGGAGGGGGTTGGCCATGCCCTTGGTGATGGACAGGAGACCAGCTGGTCAGCTCCGGGGCCTGGCTGCCTCCTGCAGGGCTGGGCAGGCCATCCATATCAAACAGAAGCTTGAAACTGACTGGGATTTGTAAAGCCTCGTGTTCAGGGAGGGTCAGACCAGGGCCAAGTGCCCCCTCCAAGGTGGTCTAGGTGAGCAGGTCCAAGAGTGAGGTGCGGGGTCCCTATGGGGCAGCTGGATCCCCATTCCTCCCCTCACAGGCCACCCAGCTCTCACTGTATCATCTTTCCCCAAAGAATGCGACACAATGATATTTTTGGTTTATTTATATTAAAATCAACAGATGTTAGCAAGTTAATGTCATTTATTATATAAGATGTGATGACAATACAATTAGTATTTTTTAAACTGTAATTGTAAAATTGACCTTATTAAAATTCCACTTCCTCCATAATTAAAAAAAACTAATTACTTCTAGTAATTGGACCAGAAATGACATTTTCGGTTCATTAATATTCAGCAAATTGTTTTTGAAGATGCTCTTGCCAGAACACTGCCAATCTGTGGCTTTTCTGTTCATTCCTCGTTTAAAGCTGGGCCAGAGACAATAGCTTGCTTTTTAACAAGATGTGCGTCCTCGGCTTGCTTTTACAAATAAAGTTTTTAATTGCTAATTAATTTGCGGGCATGCTTTCCTGCAGGAACGTGGCGGGCCGCCCCGCCCCGGCCCAGGTGCTGCCCACCCGCCGCCCAGGCCTCCTTCTGGGAACAGGGACCCAAGGTCGCGCTCCACTGCGCTGAACGTGGCATCTAATTACTCTGCCGGGAGGTGGAAGCAAGTCAAAATAACGGAGTGTGAGCTAGTTTTGTAATTAACCAAGCTCAGCAAAGGAGGGTGTGAAAGAGGGAAAGTCAGACGCGCCAGGCCTGCTGCAGGACTGGCTCCTGGTTATCCTAGGATGGTTGAGGGGCGCAGGGGCTGGGGGCCCCCTCGCTCTCAGCCAGGGCAGAGCCTGACCCGGGCTGTCCCTGCAGGAGCTTTCCTTGGGGCCCCTCCTGCCCCGGCAGCTTCCACGGCCTCACTGAGAAGCGCTGGGTCCAGTGGTCACTGTGCTGGCCGGCGGTGACCCCCCCCACGTCTGGCGTCTTTGACTGGCAGTGGGGGGCTCCGGGGGCAGGCACCCCCTCCTCTCCCTGGGTCGCTGCTATCCCACGTGGTCCTGCCTCGACGTCCTGCCTCTGAGGAGCCCCACGTGGCCTCGCAGGAGAGGGCCTGTGAGGGAGACGGGAGAGTGGTCATGGGGACGCGGGTCTCAGAGCCCCTCATCCCATCCCCTCCCCGTCTCTCCCATCACTCCCATCTCTCACAGCTTTTGGGGCTCAGGTGTGCTCCTGTGTCCCCAAGACCATGCCTTTGACGCAGGCAGGTGGCCGGGGGCTCTGGGGGCCTGGTGTCGTGGGTGACTGCGTGCCCTTCACACTCCGGACAGGTTGAGGGCCTTAGATGAGACAAGATCAGCTTCTGATTCTTAATGCGAATCCAAAACGAGTCAATATATGGAGATAACACGATACACCTTGACTCTCTCTCTTTTTAAATCTAGATAAGTTTACAGCGAAGGCGAGATCCATGGTTGATTTGAATGGGAAATTTTCATGGATGCTGACAATGTAAACGTGCCACCAGAGTCCTCTGGGGAATTCCACCTGCCAGCCTTCCCCTACTTTTCACTCCCTGGTGCTGGGGGGCAAGGGTGGGACCCTCACCCTCCCGTGGGATCCTCCCCCACTCCCACCCACCCCCACCCTTCCCTTCCCCCTTCCGTCGTCCATTCCCGCCTAGATGGACAGCCCCTGGTCTGAAGTCTCACTTGGAGTCCAGGACAAGATTGAATGTTCCCCAGAAGGGGTCACCCTGATGGAGCTGAGAATAGACGGCAGGTTCAGAAATTCCCGTCTGGTGGGAAAAATGTTCAGTCTTGTGCATTTGATGTGGAGATGCTGGACTGCAGGCGCCCCTCAAGAGAACACTCACCCAATTAACACAAGGCATCAATCACGCTTCAGGACCCCTCTAAGCCTGGGGGCCGAGTTCTCAGACAGTGGAGGTGAGGTTCAGAGAAATCCATGTGGGCTCCCCAGCCCCAGGGTGGAGAAAGGGGTCGGGGACCACCAGGCCCACTTGTCTGCTCTTCCCAAGATCTCTTCCCAAGAAACCCAGAGCTGCTTGGGATTTCACTTGTGGCAAATCGTGACCTGAGCCAAATCCTGGGGGCTCGGGGGCCTGTGCTTGCCTGCACCCTGAGGATATAGAACCATGTGTCTCCCCAACCCAGCGCTCAGTAGAATTGTGGGGCCTGTGACTGGACTCCGGTCTGTCTCTGCAGACGTTCTGGGGCTCAGAACAAGAGCTGACACCTGGTGGGTGCTCAGATTACTGTTAAATGAGTGAGTGAACGTTGCAGTCAAAGGGGAACGGGTCAGCTGGCCTCTGGGGGGCCGTCAGGAGCCAAGTCACAGAGACAGCGATGACGCTGAGCAGGTTTAGGGGAAGGCGCAGGGCAGGGACTGTGTGGGCATCTCGGGCAGGTGGAGCGGTGGCATCGTGTGGGAAGCTGAGGCCTAGGTGGTGTGGCACCACACACGTTAAATGCAGATTCTGGCATACAGCCGGTGCTCCATACGTGCATATGTGGCTTGGAGTCCGTAGAACGTGGGCTCCACGGTCTACCAGCAGGGGGCAAGGAGTCCACCCCCACCCTAAGCCGAGATGGAGGCAGTGACCCCGTCTCCTCCCCTTCCCCCCCGCCCCGCTTCCACACCGTGGCCTGGCTGACCGAACCCAGGGATGCTCTTTGTCAGACTGCTTCCCTTCTCCGCAGGCACGCAGGGCGCGGTTTGTTACAAACGCTTCGCTTTTCTTTGCATTTCCTCCTGTTTGACCTGTGACTTGGCAGGGCGTCTCCCCAGCGGGCAGTGCATGCACTCACCCTGTGCTTACTGGCTTGGGCACCTGCCTGGCTTTGGCCAGTGGAGTGCAGGCAAACACGCGGAGGCGGGAGCAGCGCCCTGAGGTGCGTCCTCTTGGGCTCCTGCCTTTGGAGGAAGAAGACGCGCTTGCTCTGCCGCACGCAGGCTGAGACCCAAGGGCAGGCTGGACCAGGGGTGCAGCCAGAGGGCCCCTGCCCCGACCTGACCTGCAGGCCTCGTGTGTGCTTACTCGGTCGTGTCCGACTCTACGTGACCCCCTGGACCACAGCCCACCAGCCTCCTTTGTCTGTGGGATCTCTCAGGCAAGAATCCTCAGGTGGGTTGCCATTTCCTCCTCCAGGGGATCTTCACAACCCAGGGATTGAACCCGCGTCTCTTGCATCTCTTGCATTGGTAGGTGGATTCTTTATGCCCAGCACACCTGGACCACATGGGCCAGAATTACACACGTGGTGGTTGTTAGGAGCCCTGGCACTAACACTCCTTGGGGCGCCTTAGACCCCAGACCCCCACCCCCTCAGCATCTTCACGAGTGTTGACGGCTCATCCTTCCTCGTCCCAGCCCCATGGGTGGGCGTGCTCCTGCTCCAGACCAGACGGGATTAGGGGGAATGGACTCCCATTCCCCCACCCCCACGATTTGTTCAGTAAGCAGAGGCACTCCCACTGCCGAGAAGAGGGTCCCAAGCAGAGCAGATTCTTTAAAACTCCCAGACTGCATCCGTGGAGTCTACAGTAACGTAACTGGCACACTCATCCCCTCACCTGGAGTGAGAGACCACTGTCACCTTTAAAGTCGCTGATGCATCCTCCAGCCCTCCCTTCTCATCAGCCCCAGAAAATGTCCTGAATGTGTGTTTGCCCTAGACTCTCTTTACTCTTCTCGTGAGCTTGCCTGTAGAGTTATCACAACATCTTATACATTTTTGCACATTTCTGTATTGTAGGAAACAGGATCAGACTGTATTAAATGGAATCATCTCTAAGATGTGCTATGTTTTTAAGGCTATTATGCTCCTGACATACTGCTGCTTCTGCCTTTTGCCACTGAGATGCATTCATATTCATTGACACAGGGGGCTCCTTTGCATGAATACATAAACATATTTCATTTATTTATTTTCTGATTGATGGACATCTGGGTTGTTTCCAGTTTTCTAGTTTTATGCTCCCCTGGATGGGATGCTATGAACTTCCTTGAATATATGCGAGATCTTAAACCGAGGCCTGAACATAAATCATGCTCAAATTCACTTTATTTGACAAGTTATTTTCCAAAGTGACTGTTCCAATATCCTCCCCCCAGTGGTGTGTAAATAGCTCCGCTGGCTCCGCATCCTACAGACTCGTCACACTTGGAGATTGAAATTTTTATCTGTTCTGCTGTTGACGGACAATTGCACTGGATGGACAATTACAGATTGTGAAGGAAACAGCTCAGAGCCCTCGAGGGCAAAGTGTTTTGTGGACACTTGTCTCCATGACCCTTGGGTGTGTACCTGGCTGTGGAATTGTTGGGTCAACACCCTTAACTTTGTAAAGAACGTCTGAACCACTTTCCATGGTAGGCATGCCCGTCAGTGATGGAGGGAAGTTTTCCTTGCTTCAAATTCTTATCAGTATTGGCAGTTCCAGTCTCCTTATATTTCGCTAGTGAATGTGGCGTGGTAACTCACTGTAGTTTTAACTTGCATCTCCCCAGTGAGTCATGAGGATTTGAAGCATTTTTTTTTTTAAACATCCAATGGCCGTTTGTATAGCTTCCTGCGTAAAGGGCCTTTGGAGCCCTTTGTCCATTTTTCATTGGGTTTCTTGTCTTTTTTCTTTTTTTGCTATTGATAACTGTGTGTTGTTTGCCCAATTCAGATACACGTCCTTCAAAAGATCTGTATTTTACAGATATTTTCTCCCATTGTCTGCGGGCTGGTTCGTTTTCCTAACAGTGTCTTTTGATGAGCAGAAGTGTATCATTTCAACAATTTCCCCTTCATCAGTGTTGTTTTTTATGGCAATTGCTGTCTAAGTCCTTTGTAAGAAGCTTTTGCTTATCCTCAGATCTTGATGATATTCTACTATGCTTTGTCTCAAAGCTTTACGGATTTTTTTTTTTATGTTTAAGTCTGTGATCCATCACTAATTAATTGTTGCGTATGATGTGAGATAAGGATGAATGCTATTTTTTTTCCTGTTTGTCCTTGAAGTTCTATCAGATTCTGTCTCATGTATTTTGAGGCTTTGGGTTAGATGCATATATGTTAGGGACTGTCAAGACTTCCTGGAGGACCGACTGTTTGATGGCAGAACGTCTCTCTCTGTCTTCGATAGCTTTCCTTGCCATGAGGCTTGCTCTGTCTGAAATTAATGCACCAACCTCAGTTTTCTTTTGGTTAATGTGAGCGTGGTCTCTCTCTCTCTGTTCCTTTACTTTTAATCTATCTGTGTGTTTATATGTGAACTGAGTTGCTTATAGACTACCTATAATTTGGTCTTTCCTTCCTCTTATTCTTTTTAAAAATCCACTCTGACAGTATCTGCTGTATAATCGGTATATTTAGACTATTGATGTTTAAAGTGGCTATTTTACTTGGAGTAAAGTGATTATATTACTTGGAGTAATATCTCCGTACTCCTTCCTGTTTTCTGTGGTTTTCTTTATTCTTTGTTTCTTTTCCTTGTCTTCTACTCTTTTTCTGCAGTCTCTGGTTTTAATTGAGCATTTTATATGATTCCACTTTCTCAACAGTGTGCTTCCCTGATAGCTTGGACTAAAGAATCTGGTTATAACGCAAGAGACCTGGGTTCGATCTTTGGGTCAGGAAAATCCCCTGCAGAAGGGAATGCAACCCACTCCAGTATCCTTGCCTGGAGAATCCCACGCACAGAGGAGCCTGGTGGGCTCTGGTCTGTGGGGTCCCGAAGAGTCGGACACGACTGAGCGACTAAGACTTTCTCCTCTCTCTCAGCAGATCAGTCGTGATTTAGGAACGTTGTTCAGAGTTTACAGGAGACACTTACAGATAATCCAAGCCCACGTCACAGAGTGCAGACCCTTAGGACCATGTCTCTGGTTCTTCCCTCTTGCCCCTGGTAACATTGCTGTCATTCATTTTGCTTCTCCACAAGCCATAATCATTGATGTGTTCAGTTGCTCAGTCGTGTCCAGCTCTTTCTAACACAATGGACCGCAGCACACCAGGCTTCTCTGCCCCTCACCATCTCCCAGAGTTTCCTCAAACTCATATCCACTGAGTTGGTGATGCCATCCTACCATCTCATCCTTTGTCACACTCTTCTCCTGACTGCAATCTTTCCTGGCTTCAGGGTCTTTTCCAGTGAATCAGCCCTTTGCATCAGGTGGCCAAAGTATTATTTTGAACAAGTTTTCATTTGCTACCTCAATTAAAAACATGAAAAAATGAGAAAATAAGAGTTCATATTGCATTTATTTATTCCTTCTTTAAAGTTCTTTATGTAGATCTGAGTTTCTGACTGATGTAATTTTTCCCTTCAATGAAGAAATTTAAAATTGTCTTGTAAGTCAGGTCTACTAGTAATAAATTCATTCAGTTTTTGCTCATCTGAAAAGTCTTTATTTCTCCTATACTTTGAAAGGTAATTTTATTGGATATTGGATTCCTTTCTCACACTGTTCATGGGGTTCTCAAGGCAAGAATACTGGAGTGGTTTACCATTCCCTCCTCCAGTGAACAATGTTTTGTCACAACTCTTCACCATGACCTACCCATCTTGGATGGCCCCGCAAAGCATGGCTCATAGCTTCCTTGAGTTATGCAAACCCCTTTGCTGTGACAAGGCTGTGATCCATAAAGAGGATGAGCCCCCTAGGTCAGAAGGTGTCCAATATGCTGCTGGGGAAGAGCAGAGAAATAGCTCCAGAAAAAATGAAGAGGCTAGACCAGAGTGGAAAGGACACTCCATTGTGGATGTATCTGGTGGTAAAAGTAAAGTCAGATGCTGTAAAGAGCAATACTTCATAGGAACCTGGAATGTCAGGTCCATGAAACAAGGTAAATTTGATGTGGTCAAACAGGACATGGCAAGCATGAATATCAGCATCTTAGGAGTCAGTGAACGAAAATGAATGGAAACAGGCAAATTTAACTCAGATGACCATTACATTTACTACTGTGGGCAAGAATCCCTTAGAAAAACTGGAGTAGCCCTCATAGTCAAGAAGAGTCTGAAATGCAGTACTTGGGTGCAATCTCAAAATGACAGAATGATCTTGGTTCGTTTTCAAGGCAAAGCATTCAGCATCACAGTGATCCAGGTCTATGTCCCAAGGACTGATGCTGAAGAAGCTGAAATTGACCAGTTCTATGAAGATGCACAGCACCTTCTGGAACTAGCAACAGTGAAATAGATCCTTTTCATCATTAGGGGACTGGAATGCAAAAGCAGGAAGTCAAGAGATACCTGAAGTAACAGGAAAGTTTGGCCTTGGAGTACAAAATGAAGCAGGGCAAAGTTTAGCAGAGTTTTGCCAAGAGAATGCACCGGTCATAGCAAACACACTTTCCCAACAACCCAAGACACGACTCTACATATGGACATTGCCAAATGGTCAATACCGAAATCAGATTGATTATACTCCTTGCATCCAAAAATGGAGAAGCTCTGTAAACAAGACCTGGACCTGACTGTGGCTCAGATCATGAGCTCCTTATTGCAAAAATTCAGGCTTAAATTGAAGGAAGCAGGGAAAGCAGGCCATCCAATCAGGTATGACTGAAATCGAATCCCTTACGATTACACAGTGGAAGTGACTAATCGATTCAAGGGACTAGATCTAGTGGACAGAGTGCCTGAAGAACTATGGGTGGAGATTCATAACATTGCACAGGAGGCAGTGATCAAAATCATCCCAAAGAAAAAGAAACGCAAGAAGACGAAGTGGTTGTCTGATGAGGCTTTACAAATAGCTGAGGAAAGAAGAGAAGTGAAAAGGAAGGGAGAAAGGGAAAGATATATCCAACTGAATGCAGAGTTCCAGAGAACAGCAGGGAGAGATAATAATACCTTCTTAAATGGACAATGCAAAGAAATAGAGGAAAACAATAGAATGGGAAAGACTAGAGATCTCTTCAAGAAAATCAGAAACATGAAGGGAACATGTCATGCAAA